CTTCCAAGGTTATGATACTCCACGTTTCTATTTTTACGTTCATTGATTAGGATACGAGTTTGAGCATCAGTCCAATCAATCATTTTTTATAATATCTTCCAGAGAACGTACACGAAGTATATTGGATAATGTGGATAGAAACGATTTTACACTATATATATATATTATACGCTTAGATTCATAAGGTTAGAATTTTCGATTCATATGAATTAAACTTTGCTTATGATACAAGGTTAGATCCGTAATTAAAATTTGAGAAAAAAAAAATACACATTCATATATTTTAATACTCCAACTATACTTTAAGTGAACATTAAGTATACTTCAACTGCGGATTCACTATGAAATATTATAATAAATTATTTTTCAACCAAACTCCTATTGAACTTCAAGTGGATACTTAACTGAACTTCAACTATACTTCACCTGATAACATTTAGACGAGCTTTACAATTCCAAGTAATATTTTGTATGTATGAAATTAATTTATTATCTATGGGAGATCTCAAAATATGAATCATATATAGTAATATGAGCAATCAAATAAGGTATGTTCTACAACACAATATTTAATGTACATTAATTGTTTTTCTATGGGTGATCCATTACCTTTGCTGATCATAATATTTGCATAATTTCTCTGATCGAGACAAATGGTTACATAGAACCTTACTTTATTGATATATAAAAAATGTTACTGAAATAACAACATAAAAATAAAATAAAAAATCATTGTGCCTTCAATGTACTTTCATCTTGGATTTGCACATCTCAGATTTGAACATCTCGGGCTGGGCAATCTCAAATGGTGAATGTCATACATCTATATCACTGGAAAATTAAATCATATGCTTTAGATATTACTGGATTATAACTCGTTTATGTAATTTAAACGCATTCATTATATGATATTGAAACATTTTTATATGACGCATATAATTAACCCATGAGTTATATTTCACCCATGAGATAATCACATGTTAAATATTAATGGAATAGTTCTCTTAATTAGGAAATTTCAATAAATTACATATTATATATATATATAAATAACAAACTTATATCTACTTTACATATATAAATACCAATGCTCGAGATTAGGGATGGGGCGGTTCCACTAGGGAACCGGTTCTGAGCGG